TCCCCAAAACCGTAAAACAAATTAAGTTTGTAAACTGAGGCGCCACTTCATTCTCTTTCCTAAAACAGTGTATTTCCATCATCCACAGTACCTGACTTAGGGAGAAACTTCAGCCCTTCTTGGTTCAGAAACCAAAGGGGATTAACAGTGTGCGTGAAAATGGTAAAATATTAATAGCAGTTAAAATTTTTTTTGGCATTCACGTGCCAGGTACTGTCTTCACATCATTAACTCAAATGCTCACAATAACCATATGCTACAGATGTTACTACTTTTATTTCCTTGCGTGTGTGTGTGTGTGTGTGTGTGTGGCCGTGGGACCGTGGGGCTTGAACCCAGATCCTTTGCACTGAGGTAAGTGCCCAGCCCTTCTTAAATTTTTTATTTTGAGACACAGCCTCACTAAGTCACTTAGTTGCCCAGGCTGGGTTGGAAGTTACTGTCCACTGCTGTGGCTCCCACAGTGCTGGGACTGAAGGCGTGCACCGCGGTGTGTGAGGATGTGAATGTGCAGAGCGCCTCACTTAGTTGCTGTCACGTAGCCAGGAAGCAGCAGAGACAGCACTGGAGGCTGAGTGAGCAGTTTGAGGGTGGCCTTTTCCTCCTAACCACGGCACCATGGCTGCTGTCCGGGAAGAAGAAACTAATGAGAAACCAAGTGGGAGTCTTGAATGCTTTGGATGATTTTGCAGGTGAAAGTTTTTCTGTCATTCATAGGGATCGTTGCTTTTCATCTCTGTCTCTAGCATACGTCCGAAGTAACATGAGTATATGTGAATTCCCCAGGTGAGAGGCATAGGCTGTATCAGAAGATGAAAGGGAACCTCTTGGAAATCAGATTTTCCCCTGATGCCCTGAGCCCGTGAACAAGTAGGAGGAAACAGGTGGGAAACTGCAGTAGGGTAAAAGATGTTTGACCTGGACGCTTTCCTGTTGTTCGTTCATCTTTAGGTGAAAGCAGCTTCCTGGAATTTACAGCAGGTGTGGGAGTTGGTGGCGTTTTAAGCCCAGAGAGCTCCCTTTTCTGTGGTTCTGTATAGCATCTTGGTGCCTGAAACGTCTTGGTCTGGGCTGCTGAGTTTTGATTGGACTTGCCTCAGTTTGGAATCTTACCTCAGAAGGGCCTTGCGGTCCTTACGGGAGTTCAGAGGCACTGCAGCGACCTCCAGTTCGGCCTCCCCCCGCTGGCTGCCTGATTTGGGTGTGTGCAGAGGCAGAGCCTTCCTTGTCCCGCCCGGCGCTTGTCTGTGCTTCCCTGTGGGTGCCTGGAGAGTCTTCTGCTGCTGAGTCCATCCGGTGGCATTTGCTGCTGCTTTTAGCTTTCTTCTGCATGCATGTGGATGCTTCGTAGTGCTTGTAGCTAGGACTGTGCTGTTGTCGCTGCCTATCCTTTCAGTCTTTCCCATCTGCTCACACATGGTTTCTTTGTACCTAATTTCTTCCATTGTCTGTGTCTCTTGCTGTTGCTTGATTCCTGCGTTTCACTCACATGGCGGGAGCGAGCACTCACGAGTTGCCATGGTGGTGGGTGTTCTCAAGCAGCCTGCTCCCCATGTGACCACAGGCCACAGCAGATCCAGGGGTGCACAGGGTGCAGTTTATTGGAGACTGGTCCTGGGTGGCAGCGAGACCAGGTGGATCCCCAGTTGGGTCAGAAGTGGGAGACGTTGAAAGTGGGTAGGACGGAAGTCCTTTCATCAGGAACGTCGGGCACAGTGCTGGTGCTGGCTGTGTCAGAGTCCGCTCTGCTGGCTTCTTGTCTAGCACCTGGGGGAGCTGTGGAGAGCAGGTTGGATCCAGGCTCACAGCTGCAGCAGGCTGCGGGCAGGGCAGGCAGAGTCCTTCCACAAGCAGTCCTGCTAACCCTAACTGCACACAGCCACAGGCGGCAGGCAGTACACATCTCCATTCAGAGGTGTGGAAAACTAAGCCCAGATTGAGTAAGTGGTTTGCAGTCATGTAAAAGTTTAGATTCATTTGCACCAATTGTACGTGCTCCATGACTGGTTGCTTTTCATGTAGCTTTTATCCTTTCCAGTTCATCTTGTGGGTTTTGTTTGCCCCACTGATTTTTCTAGGGTATAGTTCTAATCATGT